TCCTGTCCGCCGCTCCGGTTAGACCACCACTGGCAGCCCCTTTCCTCTCATCGTCAGAAACCTGTTGCAACGGTGGCGATATTCCTAAGCTCAGAACACTTCTCGTGTTCAGCCGCAGAAACCCTCCTGCCCAAGTCTCTAAGCGACATTATTTATCAGGTTGACTAACCAAAATCGTTCTTATTTTTAACACCAGTTCCAGCTTCTTGTCACATTGGATAACGTTGTTAGAGGCAAGCTCTTTTCTTCTCTTGGCACCAATTGTTATTAGGTGAAATGGGAAACATGATCTCTCTTATTACAAAGTCCAGGATTATTGTCATTTAAAACCAAATGTGTCTCCATAAACGTGGTTAGGGTTTTGTTGAATTAGTATTTCTTTCCCCTTTTTCTTGTTTTATTTTGAAAATTTGAAGAAGACTAAAGGGTAAAATAGTATCTTTTGTCTTTTTGTTAATGTGCGCTAACCATAAGGAAAGTGCTAGTCAATTGTCAAAAACAATAGGGGTAGCGTTAGTCAATTATTTAAACCATAAGGGTAGTTTAAGAAATTCACCATATATATATTAAACATTGGGTATGTAGCTACATATAGGTAATTATTCATTTTTGGCAGCAAATAGCAATAAATTATATGTTGTTTGTCAGAGTTTGACCGGACTATATGCGAGTGTTTGGTCATTTGTGCTTGAAGAAAACTCTTTATTTACTAAGTTTGTACAGCCCGGTTGTCGTTAGTGCTCGGTGCTGATTGTCGTCGATACATCTTAGTCTTGGTGCTCAAACTCTTTGGAGTAGGTCTTCCGTGCCTAGATTTCCCCTTGAAGGGCCATCTTGCCCAAGATGACGGCGATGACCCCGACCGGGGGAGCTCAAGCTCGGGGCTTGTCGGTGCGGTACAACTATTTTATGGTTTATGCTCATTGATATCAATGAGCCCACTGAGGTATCCACGTTGGACGAGGTCTTCCAGGTGGTAGCGAAGGTCGTAGCAGCTTTCGATGTTGTGGACGTGGTCTTGGTGGAAATCACAATACCTGTCCGAATTCCTCTTGTTGCCTTGGGTTTTCATCTTTTTGGGCTACTTGACAAAGCTGCAGTAACGGATATGCATCTGTATCTTGGCCTACAGAGCATTGAGTGGAGTGAAGCTATGATACGTCGGCAACGGGGTTCTCGACCTGCGATCAGATTAGCAGTCTTGCTCCTTGCCTTCTTGGTCTGATCTTCAGTTGTCGTGGTCTCACCGCTTTCGGTCATGTTGGTCTTCCTCCTCCCTATACAACGTTTAGGCCTCTTCGATGTTCATATACTTTTGTGCGTGCTTCATGACCGCAATCAGGTTGGGTGGAGGATTCTTTTGCAAAGAGAAGTTGAACATTGAGGAGAACAACCCACTCATGATGGTGGTCACGGCCACCAACTGGTCTAGACCTCGAACTTGAAGGGCCTCAATGTTGAACCTCGCCAAGTATTCCCTCAGGGTCTCTTCTTTCCTATGACGTACTCGCATGAGCCTGGCTAGTGCCTTTGATTGGTGGTGAATTACGCTAGGAACTGTGTCTCCAATTGCTTCCAAGAGGAAATGGATCGTGGCAGAAGGGAGGCGTATTGGGTTCTGGTGACTTCATGGAGAGTTGTGACGAATGTCTTGCACATGAGACCCTTGGATGAGTCGTGCAACATCATCATCACATTAAACCCTTCAATATGGCCGTTTGGGTCCGAGGCCCCATCGTACTTTTTGAACTGAGGAGGTTACCATCCGGCTGGGGGAATCTCATCGACGATCTCTTGGACAAAGATGAGCTATTTTGCGGGTTGTTGACCATGACGTTGTTCTGTTGGTCGGGCCGTCGATGGGGTCGTGCTATGATCCGCTTGGCTGCATTCCAACTCGGTCAATCGTTGTTGTAGGTCCTTGATTTCGACGTTCCTTTTTGTTGATGGACTTCTCTACTTTTGGAGTTGCTTGTTGATCACAGAATGAGTTGGATTCAGCTATTGAGATTGGAGGCTACAACACACGTTGATCAAGTCATTCTCACACCGGAATCCTTGTGACAGAGCGATGTGATTTACTGCGGGCATCGCGCGCATGAGGCCGAGCTGGGGGGTCTGGGCCCAGTGCCGACCTGCGTGGTGCCTTTTGGAGTCCTTGGTATGAGGATCGGCCATGGCAGGCACCTACGCGATAGGGCGAGTGGCTTGGGGCGTGCAACGGTTGTCCTTTTTGTACACTTCCCACAAATGGCACCAATTTGATGTTGTCCGATTCGAGGTGTTCTAAATTGAGGACACGACCAGATAGTCTTGCCAACTAGATGAGGCCAAGGTGGAATGACGAAGCCGTGCACCAAGATCTGCAACCAGGAGAAGGGTCAGACGTCCAATGAGTTATTCCTAGGGTAGGTACTTCGATGATCAAGTCAGTAGGATAGAGAGGGATGTGGTCAGGACGAGCAAGTGGAGATAGTGCTGGTCCGAGCCGAAGAGATAGTGCAAACAGATATTCAAAGAGCGCAGAGTTCTAAAAGTCCCTTACCTCAAACGAGGAATACCTACTTGTAGTTGGGCGTCTGTGTCATAAATGGATAGGGCTTTTAGGGTTGTTGAGATGAGGGCGTCCACTGAGATTGTCGGAAGGTTCCCATTTCCCCGGAAGAGTCCGCTTCCTTATCCGTGTGGGGCATTCCTTCTTAGTTGGGGCAACCACAAAGCTAGCCACATAGTATCTTTGGCTAGCTTAATCACCCCCCCCCCCCAAACCTACCCTAGGGCAACTTAAGTTGGTAGGGTGAGCCCAAAATTCACATATTGTTTCATGTTATTAAATAATAAACAAACAAAATAGCATGAACCAACTTCAAAATTTCCGATTATTTGATTGAAACATGTAGAAATCCCACAAACTATCA